AATTTCATGTTAATAAGATGTGCAACTTTGACTTGTATTTTATTGAAAATTTATTTAAAAAAATGCATTTTTTTATTGTTTCTATATTTTCTATAATTTATGATAAATGACGTAGATTTAAATGATTTATAAGAATTTATTTTATTATATTTATGATTATCGATTCAATAAAATACAAATCAAAGACAAATGAAAATATCGGTAAGCTATTATTATAATTTAGTCCGGCACACAACATACCTCCCATCTTTTTCATAGTGTTTTCATATGAATGGGACAGGAAACATCGCAATTATTAATGCACCCGACATAAGTCTAACTAGTTTTCTAAAGCTGTAGTATTTAAATACACTATTGGCATTACACTGAAACCTTATTAAGGCCACTGTTCTATAAAGCGAGATAAATATGTAGATGTCTTTATTTTTGCACAGATTTATGGAATCACTTGAACCAAAAACTAAACTTTTTTTTTCAAGTTCGCATAATATTCTGTTCATAGGTAACGAGATCTATGAATGAACACTTGTACAGCCGCCATAGTTGTAGCTTTCTCGAAAAACTTCAGTGAAAATGTGTAAATTCATTTCTTAAATTTCATTAAATACACCTATAATTTTATTTGTGCGTAATAAAGAGAGTCATCGCAAACTCATTTAGTTTTTAGATTCAAGTGTTCAATCCAAAATTAATTGTAATTAATATACAATTATTCGGGTACAATGCAATTTATTAATTTGTGTTTATTGTAAAGATTATGGAATTTAGGCGATACACAATTCTATTTCACTTAATGATTATTTTAACATTCGCAATGTTTAATTAATTTAAATATTATTCTGTATTATACAAACTGTACGTAGATTTAAAACATATTTATTAGGCCGCGGTTGGTATACCTCAGTTGAAGATTTTTTGAAAATTGAGTCTTAAAGGTCATAGCGCACCTGCCCCCCCCGGCACCTAACCGGAATAGAGTGGGGAACGCGGCTCTAAAAGTGTCTAGTAGAAAGAGAAAGAAGATGAGAGACCGCTAGCTATCTCTCTCTTGTGACGCATGGCATCCAATGGCATCACATCGAAATAGTAAGATGCTTACGGTTGCCAATGCGCATGCGCGGTTAGAGAGAGAAAGCTAGCGGTCTCTTATATTCTTTCTCTTTCTATTAGAAGGACACTTCCACTTGTAGTAGTCTATATCTCTATTCTTATACTTCTATGGGCGGGTGCACGCCCCGTCAGCCATACGAGCGAGCGAGCGAGCGAGACAGAATGAGTAGACACGTTTCTCGCGTGCGAGCGAGACGGTGCCGGTATGGGGTTGGGAGTATTGAGCGGATCTCAATAAATCCGATATCCTTATAAAGAATATCAACCGCACGAGACGAGGCTGTGCTGATCGGGTGCCGGGAGGTTAAGGTGATGCCCTTTAAGGTTCGCTTGCAGCAATTTTGTCAAATCACAATGTAACTAAAACGATATAGCACATACAATAATGTCAAATTGACATTTATCAATGGGTTAAAACCAGTTTTAGTTGATTCGAAATTTAGCAAATTTGATGAAGATAGTTTTTTTAACGTCTGAATTAAATTTTCGGGACGTAACTTCAATGATGAAAATACATGATCTATATAAATCTACAATTTCTGGCAATCTTGAATAAGTGCGATCAATGACAATGAAAGTTGAGTAGTAGCAATTTCATATGGCTAACTACAAGGTTAATGAGCAAATCTGCTTGCCTACAGATGATGAGTGTTCAAGAAGTTTACCACGAATAATATAAAAGCGTGAATGCATTATGATTATCTTTATTAGGTTGGTACAGTTTGAATAATGTAGTCCATTTGTCGCACAGCCTATTTCATTTTATTCCATTTATTATAGGTAAAGAATGATGTAAGATTTTCGTATAAACAAAACATAAGAAATTGATAAGATTGTAAATTGTTATTATAACTATATTGTAACGCTATCTACTTAATATAAACGTCGTATAAGTTGCTTGTTAAATAAGTTATGTTGAATGATATTTTTTGGGGAAATATTTGCGTAAGGAAATATCCTCCTCGCTTTGGACTTTTCAGACTATTTTGATGCGTGAGCGTGATGACTTTGTACCAATGTAAGTTGGTACTTTGTTTAACAATAGAATTCATTCAATATTTAAAGGACACGGAATATCCCAAAAGTTGATTTGAAATATAAAATTAATCGATTATGTAGTAGACATGTACATTTACAAAGTTTAGTTCAAATCTTTCTTGCATAGTATATTGCACCGTCTACGCTATACCAATCGCAAGAAAGAGTCAATACGGATAAAATATGGACATGTAAAATATTCTGGCAAAAGTTATCCACAAACTGTAATTTTTAAATTGATTTGATTATTTTAATGGTAATAATTGAATTTTAGGAGCGGGCAACACCACACTGTTCCGCATACAATACGACCGATTTCATTACCATTCATTACTACTTCCACAATGTTATGCTTTTAATATCTGTAACAATATAATTAAAAAGTTACAATTTATTTTGAAAGTATGACTGTTAGCATTATATTTATTATGTCACCAGTTATCAAATTTCTAGTTTGCGATCAAATCGAAACATCCAAAATAAGGCTAAGGATGTAGGATTTTCAGTATTGTAAATTTACTATGCCTATGACATTTATCATAAACACGAAATTTGATAGCCAGTAAACTGTCTTGATTAATGAAATATGTGCCCTAAACCTCTCACTACACAGTACATTATTCAATGCACAACCATCCATTTTCCTTCACAAAATATATACCTATACAATCCGCCCTCACTCCCTTCTCGCAGTCTTAGAACTGAAAGCGATTCAGTGTTTCTTTTCTTAGGATCGGATTTATATCATTAAAACAAACAAAAAAGATCACAATAAATAAAACTTACAATTTACACGAATTTAATACATGCCCCGTCGCAACACGGCATATTTTACACAACCCGTCAGCGATAAACTTCATTTTTTATTAATGCTATTCAATGATAACTAATCATTAATGACACTCGTTTATGTACTCTCTTTCACATAGCACATTATGGAATATTTAACTTGCAACTATAATAAGGTCCACTTGTCTTGTACAATAGAAAATGAATCTTATTACTCTTACAATTAAATCAGATATACAATCCCAGTGCTATGTAAAAAATGACTTAGTTTCCTTAGATAAGCAGCTGTCTACATTATGAATAGAAAATATACTTATTATTCAACTTTTGAGTTCACAAATTGACCGAATAATTAAGGTACACTTGTATCAGTAAGCGTAAAAAAATGCAGAAATCAAGATTCAATGAAACTCTAAGGCTCTGATCATAGAACCACGTGGTCATATGAACTTAGCCCTTGTATATCCCCAGGGACTTCAGCCCCCTTATTAATAAACGAAGACTACGCTTGGATTAGCTACTAAATGTTTTGTCTCTGTCTATTGAATGACAAATGGCATTTGAGTGACATGAACAAAACACGGCGTAACTAGTCTAAGTTTATTCCTTGTTTATTAACAAGGGAGCAGTTGTCTGACTGAAAGATAATTATTCAAACTTGTCGTTCAACAATATAATTCGACGCATCTGAAGTACGCAACAGATATCAGCGTAAGGGTAATTCAAGCCTAAAGTGAATATTTCTAATAATTTCATAGAAAGCTACTTAGCTAGAGAAACGGTTCCTATTATTTTTTCTCCTTCACTCGCTTTAAATTTACTTTATTCATATTACAAGTTTAATGATAAAAGCGATAATAATTATTTCTCGCTACAATCTTTAATTTTAATAGTAAATTGTTTAATCTGTAATCTTAGTTTGCAATAAAAATGCGTTATGAAAAAATATTATTTTAGATCTTTTTCTTTGATACTTGTAACAAAGTCGTTCCTATTAAAACATGTTTTGATTGATATCTGACCATTAAAATTTTAAACACCATCACTATCAATTGAAATTAGCACCGCAATAAATTTCTAAATAATATAAAACCATACAGATATTCAATGACTAAGAATTCAATATTACCAAATTGGTAGCAAGAACAAAATACTGCTATACTTACAAAAAGACGAAAGAATTAATTTCAAACAAAATATCTCAACTTTATTATCATTTACTGTATACCATATATAGAGTATATTTTCAGTCCTAAAATAACTTTCTATTCTCTGGTCAGATATTCAGATTCAGATTTCAGATTGAGAGGCCAATATAATCCAAATTCTTATAGTACAATTATCGGCTGCATATTCTTGATCCACCAACAGAATCGATTTTCGTTTAGTCGCTCGCTTCAGGATAATCAATTTAATTTCATAGAAAATTGTACACAGATATCTTACTCGGTAAAGAAGTTTTGAATTACCCTAACATCAATCAAGTGCCCCTGCAAAAATGTAAAACGATTTCGTTCACCAAAGTTACAAACGTGTTACAAACGTATTACAAACGGCGGTTTAGAAAGCAATGCTTCTATTGACACAAAAAACATGTGACGACTTTTTGTTTAGATCGAACGATTTTGTTTACCAAAGTAATATTTGAATTTAAATTGTTGTCTGTAAGAGATCGTTGTAACACTTGATTTAAATGGCTCTTTATTTATTGTAATGTTTTCTGTGGTGTAAAATCAAGTGTTTTGTATTGTATTGTAATCACAAGTGACCAACTAACGCAATCGAGTCACGACGAAAATCTTAGAACACGACGGCGATGTTTATTCGTCGTTCGAGTGACAGAACGACTGCTATTGGCACTTTAGAATAGCCGTTCGAGCGACAGAATGACTGCTGTTGGGCTTTTAGAATAGCAGTTCCAGAATTTCGAGTGCGTTTTAAACCCGATGATGACATAATCAAGTGTCAGTCGGCGATTTTATGGCGAGGGCGCAACACTGCGTTGCGACATTGCACCGTAGAGATCTAAGACATCGTACATCGCGGAATTATACGATCTGCCGTTGGCAGTTACAAAGTTTCTTTTGCGTTGCGTAATCGCATCGTATAGTGATGCGTCGTCGTTTCTGCGATGCGACGTCGCAATGCAGTGTGGTGACCTCGCACTCAGAACGGGAGAACGTTTGTGCATTCATCATCTTGACAACAATGACTACAGTTTCGGCCGTTTACAACGAAACATTGTGTGGCGACGACTTTGTATATTCGCATCGCGTATTGGCATAACTATTTGTGTCGCTGGTCGTTTATTACTGAACGCATCTTTTTATGACGACGCCCTTTTATTATGTTTCCGTGTCGCTTATGCAGGGCATTTTGTATTGATGCGCGATTCTCGCTTCAATGTCGAAATGCAGCAATAAATAATTTCCGCGTCTCCAATGAAGCAGCAATATTATAATGGTGACGCGCTCTTTTAGACCGTGTTGAGAACAGAACAACTTTTATGTGGCGACTTCTTTATAATAGTCGCGTTGTGGCATGACTGTTTCTTCAGCAAGTATTAATCGCTTATTGTTTACAGGGCATTGTGCAACGTTAATGGATGGGTGTGGGCGTGGCCATTGAGTGCACTGAAATCTGCCACATGGTTTCCATTTGTAGCCGCTTCTAGCGATGGCGCTGCTGTTTCCTCACTCTGAAAGGGAAATTGAAGCTTAATGCATGCCGGCAAGGGTCAAGTTTCTATGACAAAATATTGGAAGTCGATAGACTGCAGGACAAGAACGACCAATAAAACGATAGAGAGTTTACGAGTTAAAAGACAAGGATAATTCTACTAATATAATAAATGTGGAAGTTTGTATGTTTGTTACTCAATCGCGCAATAACTACTGAAAGGATTTGAATGAAACTTGGTATACATGTAGTTTATGAGGATATTTGAGGAGCTCGATGGCGCAAGTGGTTAGCGCGTTGGTTAGCGCGCAAGTGGTTGCGTGCTAGGGGTCAGTACCCCTTATCGAATTCGAATAGTTTGCAAACCGAAATGTCAATGTCAAATTTTGTATGGAAACTTGAACAGCAGTGGCACAAAAGTACGTAACGAGAACTAAAAATCAGTACACATTTGACATTGACATTTCGGACTCGCAAACGATACGAATGCGATATTGGTTCGAGCTAGGGGTACAGTACGCTTCAACGCAGCGCGAGCGAAACGGCTAATCCGCGTCGCTCGGATTGGCGACTGCGTTTTCTTTTCTCTCTACAAACTGAGCTGTATTGTTGTCCTTTTCTTGACAACAAATGGCGAAAAAGTAAATAACATTAATGACAAACCGTTATTTTTGAGAAAAAAACTTTTCATAGTTTTACGAATGAAAAGTGTTGCTGTGAAATTTGTTATTTGATCTTGAACTATTTGTGTTGTTTATAAAAGCATCGAAGGCATTGTTTTATCTTTTTAACACAGAATATACGCAATATCGTTATATTGAGTGCACATGCAGCGTGTTTGAATGTCCAATTGTGACTAAAGTGAATTGTGATCATGCACCACAATTTAAGTGGCCATGCAATTGCATTGAGCCGGAAGTGTCGTATCTTCCTTTTTTGTTTTAATCTAACGTCTTCATAGTCTATGGATTAATTTGAGTGCTCGTTCGATTAATTGGAACTAAAAACATGACACAAAAGACCTCATATTGCATTGGTGCCACCTGATGCCGTAAATTTGCCTAAACACCCTCGTTTTAGGTAATACATACTTGGTGCATAAGTGTCGGCGCGGGCGCAGCGTTTCCATTGTCAGGTTTACTGGCCGGCTCTAGATCTACCAGGAGCGGCTCGGAAGCCTTCTGTTCCTCCGCCTGCGGATAAACATACTATATACATTATAATCAACGAATTAGATATGATATGAAAGCATTGCTCTCCAACGCGGCGAAAGATTCGGGTGGGTAGCGCTTTCGGCTGCGAATGGCGGCAAGCTAGGGGATAAGAACACTTAAATGGCGGCAAACTAGGGGATAAGAGCACTTAAATGGCGGCAAACTAGGGGATAAGAGCACTTAAATGGCGGCAAACTAGGGGATAAGAGCACTTAAATGGCGGCAAACTAGAGGATAAGAGCACTTAAATGGCGGCAAACTAGGGGATAAGAGCACTTAAATGACGGCAAACTAGGGGATAAGAGCACTTAAATGGCGGCAAACTAGAGGATAAGAGCACTTAAATGGCGGCAAACTAGGGGATAAGAGCACTTAAATGGCGGCAAACTAGAGGATAAGAGCACTTAAATGACGGCAAACTAGGGGATAAGAGCACTTAAATGACGGCAAACTAGGGGATAAGAGCACTTAAATGGCGGCAAACTAGAGGATAAGAGCACTTAAATGACGGCAAACTAGGGGATAAGAGCACTTAAATGGCGGCAAACTAGAGGATAAGAGCACTTAAATGGCGGCAAACTAGGGGATAAGAGCACTTAAATGGCGGCAAACTAGGGGATAAGAGCACTTAAATGGCGGCAAACTAGGGGATAAGAGCACTTAAATGGCGGCAAACTAGGGGATAAGAGCACTTAAATGGCGGCAAACTAGAGGATAAGAGCACTTAAATGACGGCAAACTAGGGGATAAGAGCACTTAAATGACGGCAAACTAGGGGATAAGAGCACTTAAATGGCGGCAAACTAGAGGATAAGAGCACTTAAATGACGGCAAACTAGGGGATAAGAGCACTTAAATGGCGACAAACTAGGGGATAAGAGCACTTAAATGGCGGCAAACTAGAGGATAAGAGCACTTAAATGACGGCAAACTAGGGGATAAGAGCACTTAAATGACGGCAAACTAGGGGATAAGAGCACTTAAATGGCGGCAAACTAGAGGATAAGAGCACTTAAATGACGGCAAACTAGGGGATAAGAGCACTGAAATGGCGGCAAACTAGAGGATAAGAGCACTTAAATGGCGGCAAACTAGGGGATAAGAGCACTTAAATGGCGGCAAACTAGGGGATAAGAGCACTTAAATGGCGGCAAACTAGGGGATAAGAGCACTTAAATGGCGGCAAACTAGGGGATAAGAGCACTTAAATGGCGGAAAACTAGAGGATAAGAGCACTTAAATGGCGGCAAACTAGGGGATAAGAGCACTTAAACGGCGGCAAACTAGGGGATAAGAGCACTTAAACGGCGGCAAACTAGGGGATAAGAGCACTTAAATGGCGGCAAACTAGGGGATAAGAGCACTTAAATGACGGCAAACTAGGGTATAAGAGCACTTAAATGGCGGCAAACTAGAGGATAAGAGCACTTAAATGGCGGCAAACTAGGGGATAAGAGCACTTAAACGGCGGCAAACTAGGGGATAAGAGCACTTAAATGGCGGCAAACTAGGGGATAAGAGCACTTAAATGGCGGCAAACTAGAGGATAAGAGCACTTAAATGGCGGCAAACTAGGGGATAAGAGCACTTAAATGACGGCAAACTAGGGGATAAGAGCACTTAAATGGCGGCAAACTAGGGGATAAGAGCACTTAAATGACGGCAAACTAGGGGATAAGAGCACTTAAATGGCGGCAAACTAGAGGATAAGAGCACTTAAATGGCGGCAAACTAGGGGATAAGAGCACTTAAACGGCGACAAATTAGGGGATAAGAGCACTTAAATGGCGGCAAACTAGAGGATAAGAACACTTAAATGGCGGCAAACTAGGGGATAAGAGCACTTAAATGACGGCAAACTAGGGGATAAGAGCACTTAAATGGCGGCAAACTAGAGGATAAGAGCACTTAAATGACGGCAAACTAGGGGATAAGAGCACTGAAATGGCGGCAAACTAGAGGATAAGAGCACTTAAATGGCGGCAAACTAGGGGATAAGAGCACTTAAATGGCGGCAAACTAGGGGATAAGAGCACTTAAATGGCGGCAAACTAGGGGATAAGAGCACTTAAATGGCGGCAAACTAGGGGATAAGAGCACTTAAATGGCGGAAAACTAGAGGATAAGAGCACTTAAATGGCGGCAAACTAGGGGATAAGAGCACTTAAACGGCGGCAAACTAGGGGATAAGAGCACTTAAACGGCGGCAAACTAGGGGATAAGAGCACTTAAATGGCGGCAAACTAGGGGATAAGAGCACTTAAATGACGGCAAACTAGGGTATAAGAGCACTTAAATGGCGGCAAACTAGAGGATAAGAGCACTTAAATGGCGGCAAACTAGGGGATAAGAGCACTTAAACGGCGGCAAACTAGGGGATAAGAGCACTTAAATGGCGGCAAACTAGGGGATAAGAGCACTTAAATGGCGGCAAACTAGAGGATAAGAGCACTTAAATGGCGGCAAACTAGGGGATAAGAGCACTTAAATGATGGCAAACTAGGGGATAAGAGCACTTAAATGGCGGCAAACTAGGGGATAAGAGCACTTAAATGACGGCAAACTAGGGTATAAGAGCACTTAAATGGCGGCAAACTAGAGGATAAGAGCACTTAAATGGCGGCAAACTAGGGGATAAGAGCACTTAAACGGCGACAAACTAGGGGATAAGAGCACTTAAATGGCGGCAAACTAGAGGATAAGAACACTTAAATGGCGGCAAACTAGGGGATAAGAGCACTTAAATGACGGCAAACTAGGGGATAAGAGCACTTAAATGGCGGCAAACTAGAGGATAAGAGCACTTAAATGGCGGCAAACTAGGGGATAAGAGCACTTAAATGACGGCAAACTAGGGGATAAGAGCACTTAAATGGCGGCAAACTAGGGGATAAGAGCACTTAAATGACGGCAAACTAGGGGATAAGAGCACTTAAATGGCGGCAAACTAGAGGATAAGAGCACTTAAATGGCGGCAAACTAGGGGATAAGAGCACTTAAATGATGGCAAACTAGGGGATAAGAGCACTTAAATGGCGGCAAACTAGAGGATAAGAGCACTTAAATGGCGGCAAACTAGGGGATAAGAGCACTTAAATGGCGGCAAACTAGGGGATAAGAGCACTTAAATGGCGGCAAACTAGGGGATAAGAGCACTTAAATGATGGCAAACTAGGGGATAACTACTCACATTGGTTGGTGCGAGAGTGATCAGAGGGGGCGGGTTGCCGTTGTCTGTGGTCGCGGGTGCGGGCGCAGGAGAAGCAGATTTCTCTTGTTGCTTCTTTTCTTCTTCTGCTTGCTATAACGACATTACTCATATTAAATAAATTTTTCTTGCGTTCACAGGCGGAGGAGGAGGAGGAGCTCGATAGCACAGGTGGTTAGCGCATTCAGCTGCGATCGTTGAAGTTAAGTAACTTTCGCAGTGGTCGATCATTGGATGCGTGACCAAAAATCTTCTATCTCGAGTTCCTCCGTGCTTCGGAAGGCAAGTTAAGACGTTAGTCCCGGCTGCATCTGCAGTCGTTAGCACTCGCCAATCCAGACTGGGCCCGCGTGGTGGGTCATGACCCAATCTCCCTATGCCATCCATAGGGAAGGTCTGTGCCCCAGCAGTGGGGACATTAATAGGCTAATTATGATAAAGATATATTTTTCTTACATTCACATATCTCATATCAATCAACCTAGCCCCAAAGTAAACACCTCAGGCGTACAGTGAAATACCTAACGCAATAGACTATATGAAATATATATAACAGTATGAAATGAAATTATACTTTTTTCCAATTGACATATGGAAAGTTCTTTTGTATCGTCCAATATTTTTCCTATGAATATATTTTTTCCTTTGTATGAAAAATGAAGTACCAATTTTGCCATGAGTATATAACATGAATATTGAAGCGATTTCACTCTTGAATCATTTCATTCAAAAGAGTGATGTTAAATTTAGATTTAAGTTTAGATAATCAAGCCAGAATTGACATCATTGACATTGACATTATTCTATGGGATATATCTAGTTTTAGTTGAATCGAGATTTAGCAAATTTGCTGTAAGTGGGTTTTAGTTTCCAACAAATAGTTACCTTCTTAAGCCGAGTCCTGGCCATGATAGCTTCCACGCGTTGTTTCCTCAGTAGCCGTTCCTTCTCCTCCCTCTCCGCTTCCTCCTTCCGCAGCCGCTCGGCTTCTTCTGCCGCCCGTCTCTTTTCTTCTTCCTCCTTCTGCCGCGCTCTCTTCTCCGCCTCTTCTTTGGCGCGCCTTTCGCTCTCTTCGCGCTCGAGTTGCTGTTGCGCCTGAAAAATTGTATAAAGTAGTTAAGAATATTATATCTATACTTTCGCTAAAAATTGGCACAGCTGTCTTTGTATGCGAACATAGGTAAGTAAATTAGTCATAACGATGGAGATGACGAAGTCTCCAAAAAGAGCACATATAGCAGGCATTGGTTTGACAACGATGATCATATATTAAAACAAAAAGGGAAGATGCGGTACGTTGTTACTTACGTCAAACAAAAAATTATCCTACTACATAAGTAACTCTCACACACACACAGCTGTAAATGAACATTTAATCAAGCGAAGCAGAACGGTACCTTTACCACGAAAAAATATGGAATTCGAATAGTTGAATTCGATCTCGACACGCATGAAATGTCAAAAATTTATGCATAGAATATTTTTAATTCTAGCTTTGTCGGTTGTGGCCCTGTTCGAATTTCCATACAGAACTTTTTGACATTTGACGCGTATCTAGATCGAATTAGAATAGTTGAATTCGATCTATTTTATACGTCAAATGTGTCATGCTCAAACTCCCTATTCCATCCATAGGGAAGGCCTGTGCCCCAGCAGTGGGGTCATTAATAGACTGATGATGATGAAGGGTACTGTTCGTTTCAAAACAGCGCGAGCGAGTCGACGAGTCTGCGTCGCTTGACAACTAATTGCGTTTTCCTTTTCTCTATCTACAAAAATCTAAGCTCTGAGCTGGATTTGTTGTCCTTTTCTTGATAACAAATGGCGAATATAAGCAAATAACATTCATGATAGAGCGTGATTTAAAAAAAAATTTCATAGTTTTACGAATGAAAAGTGTTGCCGTGGAATTTGTTATTTGCTCTTGAACTATTTGTGCTTTCACTGCTACTATTACAATATTTCTTTAGTACATACGCAGCTGTCAAGCATGTTTGGATGTCAAATTGTGACTTTAAGAGGCTCACTTTTGAGACACGAGTGAAGTATCTTCCCTTTTTTCCCTTATTTAATCTAAGTGTGTGACTGTTTCTTGCCAGAATAAATTGCTCACCTCAATGGCCTTTCTGAGCTTCTCTTCCTGCATCTGTCGCTGTAACGCGGCCAGTTCCCGCGCTTCTTCCTCTTCGCGCCTCTGCCTCTCTTCCTCTTGTCTCTGTCTTTCGGCTTCTTCCTCTGCTTCGCGCTGTAGTCTGCATTTATGGTAAAATTTTGCACGTAATGTAATACAAGACAAATTTATAGAAATGAGGAATGTTTAGGAAAATTCGCGTCACTAGTTGGCGCCACTCGTAATCATATTCATAATCAAAATTATTTATTCAGTTTAGGCTGTTATAAGCACTCATGAATATCTGGGAGCTACGCCATCGGTTCGTAAATCTACAGCGAGAGATTTTGTACTGAGAAGAACCGGCAAGAAACTCAGCAAGGGCTGTTTTTTTCTCCCTGTTTTATTATTTACAGAGTCGTCAAATTGAAAAATGACTTCAGAGATGATTCATGAAGTCACCTTTCATTACATAATTATTATATATACATTAATTGTTTACCTGCATTTTGATTGCTGTGCCATACAGTATAAATACAAATAGTGTTATTTATATTAAGTGTAACTAAACATTAACTTCAATATTAAGGAAGTTACAGGTACATAATCATAATCAAAATTATTTATTCAGTTTAGGCTGTTATAAGCACTCATGAATATCTGGGAGCTACGCCATCGGTTCGTAAATCTACAGCGAGAGATTTTGTACTGAGAAGAACCGGCAAGAAACCCAGCAAGAGCTGTTTTTTTCTCCCCGTTTTAACCTCACCCGTTTGGGTGTTATAATCTATTTTTTTTCATTATGACATAGGATGTTTTAATGTTGGCAATGAGCCAACTGTTTCAGAATCTTTAGTAGAGGTTTTAAAGTATGTGTACATAATATATAAACATAATTAACTCCATTACCTCTGTCTCTCTAGCTCAGCCTGTCGCTCCAGCTCTTCTCTCGCCTTCCGTCTTCTTTCAGCGAGTGCGGCTTTAGCTTCTTCTTCCGTTGTGATGCGACGCGCTGTCATTGATGCTGGAACAAACAACAAACTTAACATATAGTTTAAATCTAAAGAAAATTTTAAACGGGACTCGAACCCGCACCCTCCGCTACACGGCTGCCAGCTGTGCCCCGCGGTGTTACTATTTATTATTATTTACGGTTTATTAGGGATATTTAAAACGTTTCACAATCTTTCGCCTTTATAATATTAGTGTGGTTAACGATTTTTAGGGTGAACGGTTTAATATTTTGACTTAAAACACTTCCTCTGAACAGTTCTATTCCGGGAACATATAACCCTTACATTGGAAATATCTAACACCCATAATTGTATACGAACCCCAATATAAATATCAATCAAATGAACGCAAAACAATATAAAAATATTTATAAAATTGTTGTCTTTCACAATTAGCCACTAGACACGTTCGCTCCAAAAGAGTATAAAAAAATAACGAAATAAGTTGAACAAATCTTTTTTTTTTTGGTTATTTAAGTAAATTATAAATGGAACAAATATCCTTCGCTGTTAGTGCGATATTGGTGTCGATTTTGATATGATTTTCCAAACTTAAAAGTAAGTTAACAAGAGTGTATATTTGTCATTCTCTATACAGAATGAAAAGGAGAGACTGATGTTAAATTTAGTTTAAAGTTTCGAGAATTGTGCCAGAATTGACACCAATTGTTTTTAAAAATAAATATTATAAATTATGAAATAAGGTTCTTAACCTGCTGTGAATACTGCTCACCTGTCATTTCAGAATCATCAGTCTTCTCCTGTGCGACGTCTTTCTTCTCCTCCTCCTTTCTTACTTCCTTTTCCGGTTTGCTCTCTTCTTTCCTATCCGGTTTGACTTCTTCTGTCTTGGCCGGTTTGACTTCTTCCACTTTGGCCGGTTTGACTTCTTCCTTTTTTACTGGTTTGACTTCATCCTTCTTAACGGGCGTAACGTCTCTTTTATCATCGACAGGCTTGTGTACTTCTATATTTCTGACTTCTGCTATTATGTTCTGTTCGGGATTCGTTTCTAGGTTGATTAATATGTTTTCTTTGTTTTCGTTTACCTGGAAATTTAATTATTGGAGTTGTATCAGTGAAGCAAATGTTACTTAAAACGATAATTTGTACTCTGATGCGAAGTAAAGTCAAAAGTTAACAACCTTATTTTTAGATTAGAGGTAGATTTTTTTAACCTAAATTTTAGAGTTCAAACGGCAGGAAAGGTATTACAATCAGCGGACATTTGAGACCAAAAAATATATACAATAGGTACTTCAACTATACAAGTTGACGCCACTCTGGCATGAGGTAATTTCTAAGGAGTTTTAGTGCATATTTTCTAGTATGTTAAATATTCTCTAATTAGTTGATAGACAGTGAATATAGATAGACAGTTGTGTGAATTTATTAATAATCTAATATTGTTGTATTTTTCATTTTGAGCATTAACTGCGAGATGTTTAAGTCCATACTCTATTCAACTTACCCTGAGACAAAAGGTAAACAAGCCATTAAAGGTTTGTCAATAGTTCGAATTTTTTACATATATAAAAATTCATAATTTAAGAAGGGGACATAAAAAATAGACCTAAAACTTTAGCAATCCCAAACTTTGAAGTTATTTTAATACTATGAAATAGAAGAGTAGTGATAAAGCAAATAATTAAAGTGGATCTGTGACATTTTATAATCAGTATTCTCGATACAAAATGTTTAAAAGAGGAATTTTAAAGAAATTTTTACTAGAAAAAAATTCGGTCCAGCATATCGCGGTGCTCATGCTAGCCTGAGCTGCTGGACCGATATATAGCTAATTTTTATCACGCTCAATAGACAAATTACTATATAGTTTAACAGTTAAGATGCGAAAAAAACGTGATAATATTGTAAATAATGTTTCTTATACTACGGGGATGGGTTTCAGAAAGGATGTAAATATTGTTGTACCTTATCATCTAAGTATGCGTGCGAGTCCCCGTTATGTATCTGCAGTGCTTCTAATTTCTGTGTCACCTCTACGGCGCTCACTTGGCTCTTGTCACTCAATTGAGACTCCTGAAATTAATAAAAATATTATGAAAATTCTATATAATGTTTCCTTAAAACCATCCAGAAAACTTTTACCACCTTATTCCAAAACGCGAGCTAAAGTTAGTCATGGTTTAAACCTAACTGTCATAATTTTCTTTTTAGTAAACATTTTGATTGACATTTTATCCTATTGAATTTTGATTGACATTTTATTCTATAATTGACATTATTAATCGACTATCTTATTTTGTTAGCTATTTCAATAATTTAGATTGACATAAATTAAGACTTTACTGACGTTGTTGTTTACGATCTCGACCTGACCTGTAATTCGCTTTTTGTAGTATTTTAAGTATTTATTATTGGTATGTGAACTTGATGGCTTAATAATAATTAATAATACTAATGTAATTAATGCAATGTTAAATATTTGCATGCTATTGTATATAGCAGAATGGGCCGAACTTTATATTTCTAACATCTCCAGTGTACCCCTATTCAAATGCAAATAAATAAATTCTAATTCTAACAAAAGTGCATCACAGCCCCAATATTAATTCAGGTTTAAGGTTGAACTTTAATCTATTAAATCAATATTTCTTAAATTCAATATCGTTTATCCAGTCTAGGTTGTTACAAGCACTTGTGAATGTCGAAAAGCTACGCCATCGGTTCGCAAAACTACGGCGGGAGATCTTGTATTGAGAAGAATTGGCAAGAAACTCAGCAAGGGCTGTCCTTCTCCCTGTATTTTTCAAGTCAGTCAAATTGAATTGTCGTCACAAGTAATGGTAAACAAATTGATTTTCCAGTCTTTCGCAACTTGACAGATTTATTTTATTGCATTACTCTTTGAAAGAAATAAATGAACAATATTATTATTATTATTTTTATATAGCCGGGTAGACAAATGACTTTACCCTACCTAATGTTAAGTGGTTATAAAGTCCAAACGCGAAGATAGCTGGTGCAGCAGTTTTAAACTGCCACACCAACAATTTTTTCGAAATATACAAAAAACATTGACAATGGATAAAGTACGCATCGGAATCGCAGTAGACGGGTTCAATATCATGATTACAGTACAAAAATTTAAACTAGATAAAGCAATGAATTGTGTTGATTCTGACACCTAAGATTAATTTGACAACAGTGTATTCTTGTCATTCTCTATATAGGATGAAAAGGAGAGACTGAAACTTGGAGCGCTAACTGGTTAGGTTGTTCGGTGTCGCGACGTTTGATTGGCTAATATCTTTTAGGTGGAAGTGTAGTGGAGGCGAGCCGGCGACATCGGTTCCCGTACAAACGGTCTACGTTCACCCATCTAACCTATTTCTGTGTTCTGTGCTTGTACCTGTGCCATTAAGGCTCGTATTACAGAATGACAACTAAGTGTCGATCTTTACTTGACTACAGTTAGCAAGGGATGTCGCTCTATATACCACACAGCGACATCCCTTTCTAACTTTACTCAAGTAAAGATCACATTTAGTTGTCATTCTGCAATACCAGCCTTAGTTGTCATTCCGTAATACGAGCTTATTTGTTGTGATGAGGTTTGCAAGATTAAGGTACAGTGATTTAATTTTTATATTATTTCATCTTCATTGCCTTTACAATGCAAATGGCGGACTTAATGGCGAACATGTAATGCGATGAGCGAGGGGTCGGAGTATTAGTCTGTCGAGTCAGAGACCAGCACCTGTGTTGGTGATTGATACTGCAGATTGGAGGTTTGTCCCTTCGTTTATTGCATTATACCATTTGGCTCAAAAGTTGTACTGAATTTCTTTTCTAAATTATGGTGTTATTTCACTTCTATTAAGTTCATTATTATATAAGTTAGGTCATATGTTATGGCACTGTTAGGTCAGTTTGTTACGATGAAATTGTTCATATGATATTATGTATGACTGTTTGTTCTTTATTAAATAAATAAAAAAAATGCCAGTATGGCATTCTCTACCAGTCAACCGGAAAGAAGGTGCAGAGAAAATGAAACGGCAGACAACGAAAAGAGTAAACGTCAAACAATGATAAAAACGAAATTAAATAGCATTAATTACTTATACCTACACATACATACATATATATATAAATATATATTATAGCAATATATATAATACACACAAATATATACATACATAAATACATATCTAACAATAATAAACAATGATATGCGTACCTTATCGGCGAGGTCGCGTTCGATACTGGAGTCTTTGAAGGTGGGAGACAAGGCGCGACCCGGCGACGCAGACTTGCCCCGCGCAGACTATGGAAATGATTATTTCACTTTAAACATTTAGTTCATTTAGAAAATCGTCACTAGTATTATAATTAGTGAGATTGCTACAATGTACGGAAAATTATTACCATCGTACATAAGACATAACACAGAAATTCATTACTAGGAAGTCTGAAGTTCAGTGTTTATATTATATGTTCATATTATATATTATTATTTATCGACACGACTACGGGTGCATAGTGGTAAACCGTGGTTCCCCTCACCTTTGATCGATATATTGCACTGCACTGTTGCTAATGCAATGATCACGAAGGATGTATCTCCGTGATCATGACAAATATTGAGGACTCCTGCCTAAAATGAATTTGCTATTCAATTAATGCAAAATGTCGCACTACCCATGATTCGCCAATGGGATCAAGTGCATCTGTATCCTGTATACAAAACTTAACCGAAGACGAAGGCCGCGTATTTTCCAAATCATGAAGATCATTTTTTTCTTCTAGCCCATACCTGGGAAAATTCTGGTTATGGAGATATTGCAAATATTTTTTTTTAAAGATTTATAGATTAATATTTTCTAAACGTTATTTAGAAACGTTTTTATCGACGCACTTACACACACACACACACATACAAGCACATTCTTTGCGTAGCGCTGCGGCAGCGCGCCGCGCTATACATTGCTAGGTCACTTATAAATGGTGACTCACCTTATCGTGTTCTTTGGATGACTTTGGCTTTCTGTGTACTGGCGGCTTTCCTTCTCCCGGAGCAACTGTTAATTCTGAAACCAGAAAAATAATAATAAGTTATATTTTTAACTTCTTAAGCAGATGTTATTTAACTGCTAGATGATTAAATATAAAAGAAATTTTCAGCACATTCCATCCATAGGGAAGGCCTATGTCCCAGCAGTAAGGACATTAATAGCTGATGATGATATAATTTTGTAATATTTTTTTAAGCATCTAACTGCTAGATGTTTAATTCTAATGCAAATTGTACTAGAAGAAAAGTCCACGCGGACCAGGCAGCAGACGGGGCTCGAACCCACATCCTCCGTTATCCGGGCGAATGCACTGACCATTATGCTGCTGCGGCCCCGATGGCCGTGTCGAATTTTCTCGATGTTATAATTTTTTTTTTAGTGTGTATGGTGTTTGTCGCAGATGACCTTTACAGCGTCACCGAGTTTGGGGACGGCGAGATCCTAAGGAGACCTTAAGCCGAGAATTGGTGAGTGCCTCTAGAGGTATTCCAGGCGGATGGCATCTCCCCGCGGGGGGAGTGTCGTCTCCGTCTGGAGTCTCTAGAACACTCTAACCTGAGGGGTGATATAGGTTGTATTCCGAAATATACACCAGTACGCTGGCCACCATTCCAAATACACTGATCAGCGCGGTGACGTCATGAACTGGCGCTATATTCAAGCAGTCTCGTGTTTGTGTGCAACAACAATCAAAACAAATTATTCTGTTTGTTGAGATTCCATTATTATCAATTTAATACAAAAAAGAACTTCACTAACTGCAGAGCGTATACACCCGGCTACGTCACAGTATTCTCACCAGCTTAATATGCATAGAGGTATAAGAATAGAGTAGGGGAGATATAGACTCAACTACAAGTGGAAGTGTCCCTCTAATAGAAAGAGAAAGAAAATGAGAGACCGCTAACTTTCTCTCTCTAATCGCGCATGCGCATTGGCAACCGTGGGCATCTTACTATTTAGATGTGATGCTATTGGATGCCATGCGTCACAAGAGAGAGAGATAGCTAGCGGTCTCTCATCTTCTTCTCTTTCTACTAGACGGACACTTTTAGAGCCGCCTTCCCCACTCTATTCTTATACCTCTATGATAATATGGCGGTACACCAGTGCAATATGGCGTCGAAATCATGACGTCATTACCGCTGGCGAGCTTACTGTGCCTCTAGCACGAACCAATATCGAATTCGTAACGTTTTCGAGTACGAAATGTCATTGTCAAATGTGTATTGATTTTTAGTTCTCATTACGTACTTTGTGGCGTTGCTGTTAAAGTTTCCATACAAAATTTGAAATTGACATTGAATTCGATAATGGTTCGTGCTAGGGATACTATAGTCTGTCCATTCTATTATTATCTTTTTGACAGATCGACGTACATGAAATTTTGTATTGTTTACGTTAAACTGTCTTACAAATAATATTGTACTTCATGGACAGGTACCGCCCACTTAGTGATGTGCCACACATAATGATTACTAAGATTGTGCCACAGATTACAAATAACCGGTAGAAATAAATGAGTACAACCAAATTGTAAGGAAAAAAAGTCAAAGATATAGTTTTTTATAAACCTATTTTAAAATGAAATTATCTCTTATCTAATAGACAAGTCCGTCCGTCCGTGGTGCTGTTTCAGCGGCCAAACCGTAAGAGATAGATAAAGAGAATGTTTAAGTTATAAGTTAAGAATAGTCTGATAAGACTACAAACCGGATTTGAGTAACGTAGCACTTCCGGTTTTCGAGAAATCACGTAATTTCTATTTCAAACGAAACCACACAAAATCTCCGAAGTTCTCAATTAATTAAATACATTTTTTTTTGGTGAACATTTGGTTCACTGGTTTGCTAGTTAACTATATAATCAATTAATGTATATATACATAATATAGATAAATCACACCCATACACAGAACAAATACTCGTGCTCATCACACAAATATTTGTACTAGGTAAAACAATACTTGGTAATCTAATGAAATTTTGTAATAATTTATTAAACACCAGTATTTTTGATAACTAAAATAATTTCGATACTTACTTTGATCGTACATAATCGATTAAACAATGTTCTAGCATAAAATCGATTATTGCTTTAAATCGAACGAGTTATTTGATAGGGTGTCACTATTTTTTACTTCGATCGATGTGTCAAAAAGATAATAATATAATGGACAGATTATAGTGTATATTTGGGAATCTCTTATCTAATAGACAAGTCCGTCCGTCCGTCCGTGGTGCTGTTTCAGCGGCCAAACCGTAAGAGATAGATAAAGAGAATGTTTAAGTTATAAGTTAAGAATAGTCTGATAAGACTACAAACCGGATTTGAGTAACGTAGCACTTCCGGTTTTCGAGAAATCACGTAATTTCTATTTCAAACGAAACCACACAAAATCTCCGAAGTTCTCAATTAATTAAATACCTTTTTTTTTTTGTGAACATTTGGTTCACTGGTTTGCTAGTACACCCATAATGTGTTGACACTCACGCGGCTCGGTCGCGCGGTGCAGGGAGAGCGGGCGCGGGCGGCGCGACGCTGCGGGTCGGCGCGGCACCGTGGCCCCCACTACGCTGCTGTCGCGAGAAACGCTCGGCGTCGTCGCTGCACTCGCACCGCCAACGTCTAACACCCCGCCTGATTGACCGTCATATTGAAGATCAACTCATAATAACAATAAAATACGCATTCATATTGTCACAAACGCTCTCGAAACGTAAGGGTGCGGCCAGAGTGCACTCAGATTCAGAGTCAGATTCAGATTCTGAAAACAAGCGCGAGAAATAAACAGTGTAGTCTAAGCAGGTTGCCTGCTTTTTCTCGCGCTTTGTTTTCTGAGTCTGAATCTGAATCTGAATCACGAGTGCACTCTGGCCGTACCCTTCGACTACACAGTTTATTTCTCGCGCTTGTTTTCGAAATCTGAATCTGAATCTGAATCTGAGTGCACTCTGGCCGTACCCTAACCGCGAAAGTGCTAGAGATCGAATTTGCCAGATCACCGCGGGTCGCGATAGAGATCGAGTAATGCGGCTCATTCTAAAATGAGATGCAGTGCGGCGTAAGGGCGAAAGTGCAACGACATCTGCACTTGTTTACAAGTTATGCGCGTTACCTGCGTAGGTATAAGTAGGTACTTTGTACTCGCGGGTGCTAGCTAATTCTCAATTTAACAGGTACTTTCTAGAATGCGTCGATCAGCGTATATAAGCGCGATTGGCGCCGCGCAGAGACAGTTTAGTTTCAACAGCGATTTCGGAGCGAATCCAAAGGCGATCAAAGTGCAACAAAAGTCTTCACTTGCGATTATTTAGAGACTTGTATAGTGAAATACAGCGTTTAGTGAGTGTTTTGTAATTAACATTGGGTGGTAATTATGTGAATTGAGTGGTCAATAAAGAACTGTCAAGCGTGAACTGGCATAGAATTTCGAACGCCATCTCGACACGTAACAATATCAACGATATTAAATACCCTAGATACACCACGTGCGCTCAAAATGTGTCCCAATCAAAAAGTGCTTGAACTCCACTCGAGCACTCCTTGGTTCACAGTCACGCGCGGACCGTTGAAAAGTCAAGATGCCGAGAGCTACGTGAAAAAATGCGAATAATATAGTCATAGTTCGTAAAATATCGTTTTTCAGACAGGTATCTCATCAATGTTTGTTAATTTAATGCATTTGAAGCAAATTTGTGTGTGTGTTCTAATAATTTCTATAAATTGATTTTAAAAGAAAATATTTGTGACAATCAAATAGATGGTCGGTTATAAAGCCATCTCTATTCCTCGAGGTCTGTACCTGCTAAGACCTTATACAATATACATTAAAGGTGACTTTTAATGTTTAAATAATGCCTTATATTGTTTTTGACATCGCGACCATCTTATGGAAGTCCGTGGATCGTCCAACGTACCTTTTGGACAGGTTTCTGGCAGGATTTTGTTCGTGTTAGTGTATTTAGGGTATTTCATATAGTTGATTCGTATACCGAAAATCCCATCCAAATCAAATCAGTAGTATGTAAGATAATCTCGGACAAACACATATCCGTGGCCCCCAATCCGCTGCTCTCTCGAGAAACGCTCGGTGTTGTAGCCGCATTAGCACAGCCAACGTCCAATACTTTGTTCGGAAAACTTTTCGTTAATCTATTGTAGTGTTATGAATAAATGGCGTGAATTTATCCGTGTATTTACATTTCAAGAACATATGTATTGATTTTTCATTATGTTTTAATACTGCGAAATTGACGTTTCTAAACGTAACTAATTTATATATTTACATTTAAGAAAAAATATTTACATAATATAAAAACTTATATTAGTGACAACATTAAACAGAGATCATGTATTATTTAAAGCGACAATCATAGCGGGAAGCTGTAGCAAAATAAATTATATAATATGAATAACTGGACACATAATGCAGATTACAAAAATTCGCAGAGAAAACTTTCAGTAAATTAACTGCGACCAAAACTCCACGCCATCTGAAATTATTGCGTTATAACGTCGTCGTAAAGGTGCTTCCACAGTTGAGCTAGCAAAACGAGAACTAAAGTTAGTCTGAGTTCTTTTTAGCAATCAAAAGTGACAGTATTAGTTTTAGTCCAGGTTTAACTTTAGTCTAAGTTTTGTAATAAGGCTATAAGAGCTGAATTTAAACTTTCTATGATTTAGTTCTTGTTTTGAGATTAGGCAATGTTTTTCGCCTTACTCTATCTGTCAGCAGATTTCGTTCTGGGGTCACTCCCGTATTGAGGGAGGCGGGCGGCATCGTCTCACAAGATTGGCATTCTGTACATGACAAAATCCTGTCGCTCGAGACAGAGCGCGGTGCTCATGCTGGGGGGGCTGGTGTGGGCCGCATACGCACCTCGGGGCGTGTTGACGCCGGTGCCGGCGATGGAGGCGGGGCGCGGGCGGCGCGGCGCGGGGGTGCGGCGGGTGACGGTGGTGGCTTGAGACAGAGCGCTGCCCGGCCGCGACGGCGTCGTCTCCCCCGACCGGCATTCTGTACATGATAGCCTGTGATACCTACTTGTTTATACTAGTCTAGGTTAAAAAATTGTGACTCAATAAGTTATAAATATTATCATTTCAAAATGTACACACTTGTGTATTCTTTAAAAGGTTTATCTTCATTTTCTGTGCAAACTTTCTTTAGTTATACGAAAAAGAGTATCCACTGGTACATAGTCTCTAATCAGTTTCTCATATTTACGTAAAAATGATTATTTTTACCTTTTTTCAACCTTTGATTATTCGCTGGGTGCGCGATAATTATTCGATCATGTAAATCTAGTGTCGATATGATAACCCATTTTATTACTCGTCTCAAATGACACAATTAATGAATTTCTAGCTGTAGTGTCATTAATTATGCAAACTCATTTTGTATTTTCTGTTAAACGTGGCCAAATTAATTATAAAAAATGGATTCTGCGCATTCGCACACGAAATCGCTCTTCAAACACAAAGGAACATTTTTTCAACACTTTTCAACCAAAAAAGGAAAACGATTAGTTTTGGCTCAACATGAGAAATATATAAAAGCATTGTAACGTGCTACTTCCTACAAAATACCAAAAATTATAGTCAGTTTCTCTTAAAAGATAATATTTTTAAGCTACTTGATGTTTAAATCTAAAGAAAATATTACTAGAAAAAGTTCCACGCGGTCCAGGTAGCAGACGGGACTGTACCCGCACTTTCCGCTATTCGGGCAAATGCACTGACCATTATGCTACCGCGGCCTTAATTGCCGTGTCGAATCCTTTCTAGCCTTTCTTAAGCTGCAAGGCAGCGCCGTCTATTTGCATAACTTAGTTTACTTTTTCCTCTTGACAGCGATTATCTATTTCATTAGTTATTCTCATTTCTTACTTGCATGTGAAAATTTATAGAATTTAAAATTACTGTTTTGGTCATTGTTTTTGCATTTAAGTAGGTACGCAGCAGGTTTCGCGGCGCATGCTTATTTATTCCTACATAAAATGCACGGATACGTAAATTTTGCAAGTTAAAAGTGACAGTTGCTCTGCCGAAAGTTCCTCTTTTCGCCACGGTGCGCGCTGCGATCGATTCGTGGTTCCCCCACCACCTGCTTCGCACCCAGCGAATAGTCTACTTAACTTTTACTAATGTAACATGATATACGGAATCAAAATTCTAAAAGAATATCCATAAACACTTTTAATTTTAATCAGTAAATAACCAAAAACCCACACATGATTTTTGCACAAATGGTAACGATGAAATGAAAACTTAAAAAACAAAGCTTCTAAACACAAAAAACGGTGCTGTTCGAATTAAGCAGTAATTTCAAATTAAATTGTATAAATAACTATTTCAGTGTTAAAGAAAGTCTAAAAAGCAATATCTAGTAACTTATGCTACTTGTAACAGAAATAAAAATAAAACTGAAATTTAACATTACTTCTATTATATTACAGTGTATAAATTATTGTGTGGAAAGCAACTAAATATTTACAGTACATACTTAAAACTTCTTTCAAAATTACGGGTAAAAGATAATCAGAATTTTTTTTTTTATTGTACTGAAGACTCGTGTATTTTGAATTAAAATTAGAATAATGATAAATATGTGATAATGATACAATTTTCTTATGTTTACATTAATGATGAATTATGAATGTGTGACTTAATTAATGAAAATAGCTTACCATTATTAGTAGAGCGTTACCCAAAACCAGCTAGAAAAAAATCTATTGCGATTTCCGAGGCAGATGTCACAAAATTAGAGGTGATACACACATAAAGAAAAACCTTTTACGAATTCCTTTGGATAGCTGACATAGGAACTTTTAACCTTATATAAAATCGAATATATATAGAATGCTAACAGAATACACAGATCGGCCTTATAAAATTGTTAATACTTGCGAATCACATTGTATTTGCATTTCAGCCACATAGAAAGCTAAGCATCTTCATCTTCAGCAGGGTTCAACAATAAAGCGTAACTTACACATGTATTCTTAGCGTATATTATTCACAGTTTAAAGTAAATGTTAGTTACAATCCTGATCCACTAATTGCATAAAGGCAATTTCTATCGAATTATATATGAGTTCTGTTCCAAATGCCGAAAAAACAAAAAATGAAATTTTCGTTTTCGAATGGATTGATCAGTGATCAATCATGTTATGTCGAATGTTTATAAATTTTCACTGCAGGTAATGTAAAGAAAACATTTCCAAATGAGATTTCGTATGTGAAGAAATAACAAAGACACATTTTAAATCACGAAATACTGTATTGGAATGAAATGAATTCTTTTCCTCCTCTTTAATAACAATGTAAATAGTTTTAACTAGTGACTTGCGCAGACGACGGAATTTTGTCCGTGTATCATGAATAAATGTTAAAATCTATGCAGTGACATGATGACAACTTTCAAAAACATAAAATCACACAAATCAAAAAGCCCCGACCTGTATCTTCGACAAAACACAAATGCAAACAACTCAATGGCTTTAAAAGAGATGAGTCAAGGAGTTCAACTTTTATCGGGTGGATGTCAACCCAAAGTTATTCACTTGGCTATTCGTAATTGCCATTTGTAAACTGATAAACAGTCTGTCCTTATCATGCTTTATACGAGTAAGTAATGAAAATGACAAGCTAACTAAGCTAAGCTATTCGCTAACTTTTAGATTTTTTTTACAGTGTGTAACTAAAGAGAAAATTGCATGTCCATCGATGCTTCTCAGAACAAGTATCTTAGTGGCATTATAAAAAAGCAGTAGGCTCACTAAATAGCTCCGTGATTATCACAACCTATCTAACAAACATAGTTAGCGAATAGGCCTACAGGTCTATACGTCGTCGTATGTGTAATCATACTCCAATGCCTTGGGGTAGGTATTCAAAATTAGCGTCAATCCTAAGAAATCCTATTACAGAGGCCAAAAGTATTCTAAACGACAACACTCGCCATTAGATAGCCACACTTATTCCTGATGGCAGTGCTAGTCAAACCCCAAAGTATGGCTGTGTTCACTCTAGTCAGTATCCTAAGAAGGCTACTCTCTTCATTATCGCGCAATGACTTGACTCTTAACTAGCAGTGCTTAATCATGCCCAAAGCGTTGACCTAAAATGTAGAATATCCTTAAAATCCTGTTAAAAACCAAAACTATTCCGAACACACTCCTGATCAGTAACAACACCAGTAAGCGCCCAAACACTCTTCATTAGCGCATGAGCACATACTTCTAGCAGCAGTGCTGTCAAAACCAACAATCCAAAGCGACCAAAACATCCTGTTAAGAACGCCAAAAACTCAACACACGCAAGCTCTCGACCACTTTTTAGCGCGTGATAACAAACTCCTAGCAGCAGTGCTTAATCACAACCCAAAGCGTCTATGACATCCTGTTAAGAAGGCCAAAAACTCAACACCCGAAAACGCCCAAACACTTTATTAGCGCGTGAGACTAATTCAGTAAAACCACCCGTAAGCGTCCAAACACTCTTCACTAACGCGTGAGAATAACCTCCTAGCAGCAGTGCTTAGTCACACCCCAAAGCGTCTAAGACATAAGACACACAACCCAAAGCGCCTGTTAAGGCCAAAAACTCAACACCCGGAAGCGCCCAAGCCATCGTTCGCCAGCGCATCATCTTACGCGTCCTGTGGAGTTGGTGCTTGGAGGGCGAGGCCGAGTGCAGCGGGCGCGCGGCCTGGATCCTGTCGAGGCGCGTCATGGAGTGCGCGTCAATCCTCACAAATCTTACAATGAAGGCTAAAACTATTTCAAACAACAACACTTGCCACTAGCGTGAGAACCAATTCCTGATGGCAATGCTAGTCATGCCTCAAAATGTGGGTGTATTCACGCCTAGTCGATATCCTACGAAGACCAATGCTATTCCAAACGTGCTCAATCACAACAATCCAAAGTGTCCAAACAGCTGACGTAATCAAAGTAAGCCAATATCCTAAAAATCCTGTTCAGAAAACCAAAACTATTCCGAAGACACTCCTGATTAGCCAACTCTGTAGCAACACCCGTAAGGGCCCAAACTCGTCATTAGCGCGTGAGCACAGATTCCTAGCAGCAGTGCTTAGTCACACCCCAAAGCGCCTGTTAAGGCCAAAAATTCCACCCGAAAGCGCCCATGCCATCGTTCGCCAGCGCATCGTCTTACGCGTCCTGTGGAGTTGGTGCATGGAGGGCGAGGCCGAGTGCAGCGGGCGCAGGGCCGGGATCCTGTCGAGGCGCGTCATGTATTACGCGTCAATCCTGACAAATCTAACAATGAAGGCTATTCAAAATGTGCTCAATCACAACAATCCAAAGTGTCCAAACAGCTGACGTAATCAAAGTAAGCCTATATCCTAAAAATCCTGTTCAGAAGACCAAAACAACACACTCCTGTGATTAGCCAACTCTGTAGCAACACCCGTAAGCGCCCAAACTCGTCATTAGCGCGTGAGCACAGACTCCTAGCAGCAGTGCTTAGTCACACCCCAAAGCGCCTGTTAAGGCCAAAAACTCCACCCGAAAGCGCCCAAGCCATCGTTCGCCAGCGCATCATCTTACGCGTCCTGTGGAGTTGGTGCATGGAGGGCGAGGCCGAGTGCAGCGGGCGCGCGGCCTGGATCCTGTCGAGGCGCGTCATAGATTACGCGTCAATCCTGACAAATCTTAAAATGAAGGCTATTCCAAATGTGCTCAATCACAACAATCCAAAGTGTCCAAACAGCTGACGTAATCAAAGTAAGACAATATCCTAAAAATCCTGTTCAGAAGACCAAAACAACACACTCCTGTGATTAGCCAACTCTGTAGCAACACCCGTAAGCGCCCAAACTCGTCATTAGCGCGTGAGCACAGACTCCTAGCAGCAGTGCTTAGTCACACCCCAAAGCGCCTGTTAAGGCCAAAAACTCCACCCGAAAGCGCCCAAGCCATCGTTCGCCAGCGCATCATCTTACGCGTCCTATGGGGTTGGTGCATGGAAGACGAGGCCAAGTGCAGCGGGCGCGCGGCCGGGATCCTGTCGAGGCGCGTCATGGAGTGCGCGTCAATCCTCACAAATCTTACAATGAAGGCTAAAACTATTTCAAACAACAACACTTGCCACTAGCGTGAGAACCAATTCCTGATGGCAATGCTAGTCATGCCTCAAAATGTGGGTGTATTCACGCCTAGTCGATATCCTACGAAGACCAATGCTATTCCAAACGTGCTCAATCACAACAATCCAAAGTGTCCAAACAGCTGACGTAATCAAAGTAAGCCAATATCCTAAAAATCCTGTTCAGAAGACCAAAACAACACACTCCTGATTAGCCAACTCTGTAGCAACACCCGTAAGCGCCCAAACTCGTCATTATCGCGTGAGCACAGACTCCTAGCAGCAGTGCTTAGTCACACCCCAAAGCGCCTGTTAAGGCCAAAAACTCCACCCGAAAGCGCCCAAGCCATCGTTCGCCAGCGCATCGTCTTACGCGTCCTGTGGAGTTGGTGCATGGAGGGCGAGGCCGAGTGCAGCGGGCGCGCGGCCGGGATCCTGTCGAGGCGCGTCATGGAGTACGCCCTACCTGGGGCGCGCGGCGCGGGGATCGTGGGCACTAGGTCTGTGCGCCGCCGCGCTACGGAGGACCACATCACTGGGGGTGGGGTGCGGTCCGGTTCGTCTACGGACAAACGGTTACTTATCATTTTTGTATTTCCCATCATCATCAGCCTATTATTGTCCCCACTGCTGAGGCCATTAGGCCATGACCCACCACGTGGGCCCAGTGCGGATTGGCGGGTGCTAACGACTGCAGATGCAGGCGGGACCAACGGCTTAACGTGCCTTCCAAAGCACGAAGGTGCTCAAGATACCTAGTATATTTTTGGTCACCCATCCAATGACCGACACCGGTTACTTATCATTTTTGTATTTCTGTTTTTAAATCTGAGGCGAATCACTACATTATCAGCCTATTAACGGACCCACTGCTGGGGCACAGGCCTTCCCTATAGATGGAATAGGAAGATTGGACCATGACTCACCACGCAGGCCCAGTGCGGATTGACGGGTGCTAACGACTGCAGATGCAACCGGGACCAACGGCTTAACGTACCTTCCGAAGCACGGAGGAACTCGAGATAGAAATCCAATCCATCCAATGACCGACACCGGTTACTTATTATTTTTGTATTGCTGTTTTTTAATCTGAGACTAATTACTACATCATTTAATGTTAAATTAGGAGTTTTATTTGCGTCCGATTCATCTGTGTACGTTTACCGCATTTTTTACAAAACGTAGAATGAAATTAAACCTGGACTAAACTGATGCTGTCAGTTTTGTTTGCTAAAAAGAAGGCAGTGACAAAATAAGGTTTAAACCAAGACTAACTTTAGTCCGTGTTTTGAAATAAGTCGGTTATTGTTTACCTATATTCTAATTCAAAATTCAATATCGTTTATTGAGTTTAGTTCTGTTATAAAGCACTTATAAATGTCTAAATGCTTTAGGTTCGCTTATCTACGGTGGTAAACTGCAAGGTCTCGTGAGAAGAACCGGCAAGAAACTTTTTTATTCCCTTATATTATTGTAAATTATGTATACAGAGACGTCAAATCGAAAAATATGGGAAAATTCATGAAGTCACCTTCCATTACATAATTTGGATTTTTAAGAATACTATAGATAATATACTTTTTAAGAAGTCTATTTATTTAAAATTTGAATAGATAGTTTGATAATAACGTGTTATACAGTTAAAAAAGATAATGTGCGATTAAAGTGAAATACTACAATAATAATCTGAAAATATCAATAACGGGTTAGTAACTCGTCGCTTAAATTGATTTCTGCCCTGTCCGTTGATAATCTTTTATTATATCTCTTGGGATAGTTTGCAGCTGGCGCCTTATATTTTTGAGTAAGTAGTGTTCTTAATACATTATAAAAAAAACACTCGTCAATATTTTTATCATTTGTAGTATTTCAGGCTGCCAAATGTTTCATATGAATTTAATAACAAATCCGATCCGATGCCATATGGCAAAATTCATCAAATACAATATCAGTGTTCATTGCTTTAAATAAAAAGCAAACATCTTAAAGGTTTTTTATTTCATACAAAAACGATCTATGATTAATGCTCAAAAATGCCTCGTGTTTAATATATTGGCTATGCTATGATATGTTAGCCCTCAAACACTGTTCATAAATCAGTCAAAAAATTACAAACGCCTTTAATTCAACAGCTACAATTCTGATAACTATCCCATTTATTAACAAAAATACAATCAATTCACAACTATTCGCTTATAACATTAAAACCGAGTTTTGCGTGATAGTAATTTCACCATAAACGAGGCACAGTTTAGTGCATCACACAGCGTAAGTATTAAACTGATCATCTTTAATCCGCTGCAAGGCCGACCGGCCGATTAGCAATGTCAACAAGTCTTAGTATAAAAAGTATTCCTTGGTTAGTCTTGTTGTTTATATTGCATTTTTAAGTATTCTAGAAAAAAATATTATGTCCAATACTTACAGAAACTGGCGAACATCATAAATCCTTTGGGCAGCATTAAAACATTTGAAGTGTTAATTTTGATGTTCGTTATAACAGTATAAAAAGAAGAAAATTTCTACCAACATAACGTTTAAGGTGATTTTAATGATCATATATTCATTAATGACAACATAGTCTTTATTGATAATAGCAGAGTCTTGACTAAAGCTGGGCATGTTTCAAATAATGATATTAATAATTTGCAATATTGATTGAACATCATTATTTTACCTAATTAAATGAGCATACAAACGGTAATTCCTAGTGAGATAAAATTCTGGTAATACCCCTTTTAATATGTCTTAACTCTTAAGCACGTTAATAAATAAGAAAATATACCAGTAAAATTATATATTTTGTCATTTACTTTAGATTTTAGCGGAGGCAAAGTTTGTTCTGAAATGGCCTTGATGTTCCGTCACTGAGTAATCATTCATTTCCACTTGCATAACAATTTTTTATGTTATCACGCATGATTCATGATAAATAAAATGCACAAAAGAGCATTAATTATCTTTAAAAGCAACAACGAAAAGTAGCCAGTTAGTAATTTACCCTTATCGGGTTTCTTAACAATTATAATACATGTAGAAAAAAATTTGGATGATTTGATAAAAAGAAGTTTTGCAAAAAATCTAGGGATATTTTCAAAACGCGGATAATTAGACAATGGCGATGACATTTCTCTATCTTACTGAAAAAAGATAAGATTTCTACGTAAACGCGAGTCGCCTCAGTAAGACTGCGAAAAGAATCGTTGGCTTATTATAAATATTCTTGGGTTTTTTGGTTCACAATAGGTTAGGTTAGAATTGTGACCATAAAGCAAGGCCCAGCGAGCGTACGCGGCTGTGGCCGGAGAAGCACCAGAAAAATAGCCAACGTTTTCTTCTATCAAATATAGTATTTTCGAAGCTGTTACCTCTAAAAATATACTATGTGCTTTAAATATTGGCTTTATTTTTTAAATGAATGTATATTTGCTGCTCTACGCCTTAATAATATTTTGTTTATTTTTAAGAAAGGTTTTACTGGCATATATCTGCTTTAAGCAAAATAAAATAGTGTCGCCTACTATATATTGTTTTTAGAAATATAGTATTTGATCCCCTGATATAGTAGGTTACTATATTATATAGTAGGGTTGTGAACCCTAGTTACAAATAAGATTGAGCAATGCTATCGCTATTGTCTAATCATCCGCGTTTTCGCATAATCTCTAGGATTTTCGGGTAAAATCGATTTGTTAAATCATCGTACACTGTAGCACATAATGATACCTTTATTGTCGGTGTCAGACGAGTCCAGTTGGAGTGCGGAAGCGCGTCTCGTCAGCGGCGCAGACGCGAACATCACGTTCGTTGTTGATGCCGCCCTGGAAATTAATCCAAACATTTTAGACTTTACAATCGTGCGTGTAAAGTCCGTCCTTTTATATTAGCCAGTACTAATGTCGCGCCACGGAAATGGTTTGAGTTTGATATTGTGATTGACCAAAACACTCCTGTTTCTTGTAATAAATTATGTTTTTAAGTATTTTTATAAGGCGCAAATAACATCTAAGCAATGGGAATGCAATGTTTCATAAAAATAAAAAGATTATTTTTATGGGGAAACTTATTAACTAAAAGAAAAGAATAAGTACCTACTAAATATTGAAATAAAGACAAAGTTTAATTCTGCAAAATTACTGGCTATAAAGAGAACGGAAATATAATTTTATTAAACATAAAGACTTTGTTAGTTCCAAATGCAATACAGTCATAGTTATCGGACATTCACTAAGCCAATTAACAAATACAATTTCACTATCTATAATTCTATATAAGTACATACTGAATACATTAAAAGGCTGATGGTGATGCATTCAAAAATCAATATTCATTGAATAACATATTATTTTGATTAAGTTTGTCAGAATTCAGAGAGACATATTAGATTGTTAATATTGTTCGAATTGCATTTGAGAAAGATCACATAGCTCTCTGTTTGTGAAATATCTGAAATTCTATGGAAAAATTAACGTGGTTTAACAAAAACGATGATCATACCATATGTGAGTAGCTACAGTCAAGGTCACATTGTTGGAAACAATTCGACATTGACAGTCTTTATCACATGGCATTAAGAGCTATATTAGTAGATCAAAACACTCTCGGCTAAATTGTCTGTGCTAAATTAATTCTATATTTTGTCACACGATATTCAAATTTAGTTATTGTCTGAGCTATAGTTATGCAAATGAGACGAGTCATTCCGACGATCTGAGCATTTCTGGCGTGTGATAGGTAGTTTTAAAAATCAAAATTTTAAATTTGCCTTCATTAGGATCCCAAGAGGAATCTTATGGCAAAGAATGTTAACCGTTTGGACTTATGTGCTTTATGTATATGAGAAATAATTTAAAAGAAATGCAGCATTATTTTTTGAAATCCACATGTACTAATATCAGGAATTAGAATGTAATTTCATTTGTTTGTCATTACCCATTATGCCTAAACAACTGAATCGCTTTTAGTAAATCTTGGTACGGAGACAAAGGGAAGATTGAAGAATGACATGGAATACCTTTTGTTGGAAGGGATCAAAACATACACATAATGCATGATAATACTTAAGGTACAAGATTGAGCTGAGTTGTATAGAGACAAGGACCCTTTCGAGTCAGAAACCATCCAGGTATTTTATGCAGACCATGTCGCGGGCAGACTTGCGTTGACTAAAATTACCGTCAACCCCTCAAACTAACCTGAGTAAGTACGTGACAGCGTAACAAGTCCGTAGTACACTAACGAGTTTCGAAATAGCGCCGATTGGTCGGAAAATGAACCGTCAACCTAATGGGAGACAGTCGCTAATTGTTACCACATTTGAAAGTCCTATTGATATTGTTATATTACCTGACGGGATAAAACACTAATCCGATACGTAAAAAAAACATCGCGTAGGTACTTATAGAATCGTTTAAAAATGCTCTTACATTCAAAGAGCGTGGCATTGTTTTTTGACAATACTTAGTACGTGACATGTAAGTGAGCTTAGGTATCAATATTAACTCTTTTGGCTTTGCATCCCTCAGCTTTTATCTCGATATCACTTTCACACTAAGGTCGAGATGACTAAATTTGACACATGTCCCGATGACACCTTAATTTTTAGTATAACTGTACCTATGTTACATTAGAGTTGTTCACGTGCACATGTACCTTATTACTAATACAGTAAAGATTGATCTCTTAAAAGTAGGTAAGCTCAACTTAATGCACTCTGTAAAATAGGGTTGTTGTACATTCGCCACAAAGTTAATTTTTGTTTACTTATACAAATAGCACAATTCTTTCAATAGCATATTACATTATTAAGGACCGCACTCGAAACCATGAAAGGGGATGCAAAATCGTGGGCCCGGCGTAACCATAATGTAATAAAATGAGATTTGGTCTAAAAATTTAGTATATTTATTCCTTCTCAAAATAGAACTATTTGAGGCCAAGTTTGTAATTATGAACTCGTTTCAATCTTCTTTAAATGCTAGTCAAGTGTGTTGACCATTCTATTGTTAATAACTTTATACATAATTTCAGCTTGTTTGTCGTCTTAATTTTCCTTAATTTTTCGACTTTGCTAACAGCGCGGGGAATTCAACAGCTGACTCCCTTCACTTCCAGCATTGGGATCGTGCCAGTAAACAAACAAGGATAAAAGCCAGAACAGCGAGGTTCTATAGAGTTCAACGACACCGTCCGCCAGTGTTGCATAATAAAAATGTCAAAAACCAGATTTCGCCTTCGACAGATCCGCTGAAATAAGGCCATTGTTTTAAAGACAATGGGGACGTGAAATATAGGAAGTGGTGACGTCAGCGGCGCCCAACCGCGGACGAGGCTGTGGGACACCTTATGGTTGGCCAAAATGGCGGATCAGCGAAGAACTCCTTTAGTGACATGACATCATAGATGGAAGAGAGGTAGGGCATAAAATATTTGCTATTTCCGTTCAAGTCTCAACGGATGCACACGTAGTTAACTATTAGGTACCACTGTTACTGGCATGTTTCAACAATAACATGCGGTAAAGGATTGATTATATTAAAAAATGACAAAAAAAACATCACGTGATCAATGGACGGCCCCCTACCTGACGTAGGAACAAACTGGCTCCTTCCATACAAAATTTGATGATGAAGATAAGGTTACGGAGCTGTCAGTACGTGCTTGTATCTCACTTACGAAAAATCGTCCATACGTTGTTTGACGGCATTCCGATGAAGTAAATCAACAACAAATTTGCAATAGCCTGAGTACAGGGGAACAATGGTATTCCCAATTTAAAAAAAAAAATTCGACGACGCATTCCTGCAAAAGATGCAAAACGTCAATAAATAAATAAAATTAGGGCATAGGGACACGATATCGAATAGAAAGTATCGATACTGTACTCATGAGTAGTATCGGAAAATAAGTATCGTACTCGTAAAAGTATTGAAACAAAAGTATCGATACTTCGAAGTATCGAGTACATTTCATAGGGCCTTATGTGCTTCCAATTATATCAACGCAATGGAATGTTTTAGAAGGTATGCTATGATTCCACTAGATGGCGTTGCCATCAATATAAGGCGCTTACCCAAATTTTTAAAGGTATCGATACTTGCCAAAAAGTACTCATTTAGTTAATGTATCGAAAACCAAGTATCGAGTACAAAAGTATCGGTATCGAAAGGAAAAGTACTCGATACCACAAAGTATCGATACTTTTTTCGTGACCCTATTAGGGCATCTAACCCGTTGAAACTTGTTTTATTTAATGGTATTATCCAAAAGTGGAATTAAACTGATATACATGAGTGTAATTATCACTTACATAACAACGCCCAATCCAGCATAATACTAGTCATGTTTTGGGAATAAGAGGTTACAGGTTATCAGCATATTGAGCTTAGTCACTGAACTTATTCTGTCAAACAGTATACTTTTACTTAAGAGGGGAGGCCGGCAATGATTTTTCCTTATAAGCGTTCTCGACTTATTCCGCCTTGATTTTTATCACTATAGAAATTATTTTCACACATAAAATACAATTTTACTCATTCTATGCTCATATGCCTTCCTTTTATAGAGATAACTTGTGTTTCAAAGAAAAAAAAAAAAAAGCCAACAATAAACAAATTTTTATCACCACTAAAGACATCAAGTGTGAAAATTTAATAAACATTTATAAAAAAATCAAAACATAAGAGGCATAGTATAACTACTTATTATTCTTAGTGTAAAATTTCATTTACATATATCTAATTTTCGATTTTTGCAATTTTTATACGCAACTTTCAGCGTTAACTACTGTTGTCCCTATCGCACGGTATTTGCCAATACGTGACAGCAATAGTTTTTTCAAATAAATATTTCTCAAATGTCTCTCAGCTCGCGTTCGCTCTTAATGCAATTGTTATTGCAACCAGACCATCCATAGTAGACTACCGAAATCAAACATTTCCAGTAGGTAAAAAAAAAAAAAAATAGCAGCCCACCGTTTAACACTCAACCAAGGCGGTGATCTCATATGTATACCTACCGACCGACTGTCTGTGAATTTCTAATCGGCTAGTAATAAGCACTAGGAGTGGGCGCTCCCAACAATCGGACTCACAGTCATTCAATACGGCGTACACTCATTACACCACACGTAATTGACATATTCAAAAAACGGAGACAAAAAACCGCTCTGCAATTGTTCATACGAAACTCATGTTGCTCAATAATTATACTCTGTAATTCTTGCATATTATTATGTTCAGAAATAAGTTTAATCTTTATAGCTATACTTCATTTTTGCAGGCCGGCAAGGTGAGGATGATTGGTGTAGCAGTTTATAACTGCTGTACCAGCTGTCTTCGCGTTTGGACTTTATTACCACTTAACATCAGGTGGGATAGAGACATTTGCCTACCTCTATATATAAAAAAAAAAATGGAATCACGTTGCTCTGGCGGGAAAGAATTGTTGAATAATTTAGGCCCGTATTATAGGAAGATTCTCAGTAATGAATCTAGTCTTGGGCATAGTCAGAAAAGGATAATGCTATATATAGCACATAGCGACATCCCTTTCTAACTATACTCAAGTAAAGATCAACACTTAGCTGTCATTCTGTAATACGGGCCATAGTAAATATGGATGTCAAAGTGAAGTAAAAACATGTATCGATTTAGAAATTTTAAACAAATTTTTGATTGTTTCGAAATCAAAAGACCACAAAAATAAAGATAGATACAGATTTTAATGCTATTTCTCTATTTAATGAAAACGATTTTGTCAATTTTACGACAAGTCACTGTTTACGAAGTATCTACATCCTTAAAAGCAGTGAATCACCGGG